AAGAAATTTGGAAACAAGTTGCTAACTTTTGTCTCATGTAGTATGACAAAATCAAACTCTATGTACTTATTAAAGTTTTGTTGCAGACCTTTGTGGAAAAAAGCATTAAATCAGTTTTATAGATGTCCAAAGGCTTTGTGATGCTCTAAATTAAATATCTTAAAATAACTTGGCAAAAAGTTTATTCCACATTACGGATTAATCAGAATTTCCTTCCTTCCTTCCTTCCTTCCTTCCTTCCTTCCTTCCTTCCTTCCTCTTTCTTTCTTTCTTTGTTTTATTTTTGGGTCACATCCAGCAATTAGGGCTACTCCTGGCTCAACACTCAGGAATCACTCCTGACGGTGCTCTGGGGACCATATGGGATGCTGGGGACTGAATCCAGGTTGGCCACGTGCAAGGCAAACACCCTACCTGCTGTACTACCTCTTTGACCCACTTTCTTGTCTTTAGAATTTTATAGTTAGGAAATTCCTAACTATAACCTAACTATAACCTAACCAAAGTGGTTACCACACATAAGATTCACATGGATTACCATGGAAACAGCAAGGATTTTACACTTGTGGATAAAGTTCTCATTAGGTCAAGACTAGGTTTGATATCTGATCACAAAGCTATGAAATAGAGTTATAATAATGGCACGCATTTCCATATACTGGACAGACTAACAACATAATCTGAAAAGGCTGATTAGGCTGATTAGGCATATTAGCGCCTCTGAAACTACCAGGGTCTTCCCCAAATAACCTGAAGGGGGAGTGTTTAGGGACTGAGGCAAAATTTGCATGCTTCAGAGTAGCCACAATCTAGAAGAGGCCTTCTTTGGCCTGTTCCTTCTTAGAGTAGCCACAATCTAGAAGAGGCCTTCTTTGGCGTGTTCCTTCTTAGAGTCTCTTTAATTTCACCCAAGGGGATTTTAACCCCTTCTGGTTTACATCTCTGGTGTAACTTTTCATTATCTGCTGTAACTTCTGTCAGAGGAGGCTTCAATCCTTTAGTTTGCAGGAGGGGATGTTACCCCATGCCCTGGCAAGGAAGCCTTAAAAGTTGCAAGCAGGAAATGCCACACCAAACACGGGCATGGGTCCCTAAAAGTTCTCAGAGTGTCAGTTTGCTTGGATGTCTCCATCAATGACCTCTGTGCTGTACTCCAAGTGACCCTGGGGTCTGACCTTGCCTCGGACTCAGTCACAGCTATATGCCGAGTTTAACTAGAGTTAAACTTAACCAGAGTGCTGCGGTTTTGCTTCTGGATCGGGAGAGAAAAAACATTTGGTCTTGCTAACTGGCAGCATCTTTTCACAGTAGTTCTTTCTGCCTGTCTTTAGTTTGTTTAGACCAGAGCCTGGGAGCTGCCCTCATTAAGGTCTCAATTCCCTCTTGGTGATCCACTTCCTTTATTGGCCTGAGAGCAGAGATAGGGGAAGGGCTCCTGCCTGGGGTTTGACCTTGCACATAGTCCCCCAGAAAATAAAGTTCTTAAAAGCTAGTGGGCTTCCCTTGTGTCCCTCTCTCAGTGGTCAGTGGCTCATGAGACCGATAAGGGAGGGGCTGCCTTCTTATGGAGATCACACACTCACACAGAGGTTAAACAGTATAATCCTCCCACTAGAAATTTTCCCCAAAGAGCATATCTCTGCAGCTGACTTTCACCGGCACCTCCTTCCTCTGAAAGTGCTTCACTGCCTCACCATCCCTTCGTGGCTTCCACTTAATGAAGCTGGTGGGGTCCCTGGGCGACGTGTGAAGTGGAAAGGAGAGAGACAGGAGCCTCAAGAAGGGTGTTTGCTGTTTTCACTCGACCCACCTCTGCCACCCTGGGAATGGCTGTGGAAACCTAGGACTGACAAGAGTCCATTGTGAGCTTTGGTCCTTGCAAGAGAGGAAAGTCGCTCCTAGATCTTACCAAGGCCTTTCCGTTGTTTGCCTTGGCCTCTCAGCAAAGAATTTCAGGAGGAGATGAGCAGTGAAGCGAAAACAGGTTTTAGATTTTACTGAGTGAAACTTCCTTAGACATATGTGGAGCGAGAAAGAGGGAAAATATATGTTCAAGAAAGAACACAGGGGAGTAGGAGAGGTAGTACAGCAGGTAAGGATCTGCCTTGCAGACAGCTGACCCGAATTTGATCCCCAGTATGGCACTCGGTCTCCAAGCATTGTCAGGAGTGATTCCTGAGTTCAGGGCCAGGAGCAGGCCCTGAGCATCCCTAGGATGGCCCAAAAGTGAGAGAAAGAAAGAGAGAGAGAGAGAGAGAGAGAGAGAGAGAGAGAGACAGACAGACGGACAGACAGACAGACAGACAGAGAGATAGAGAGAATGGGCCTCTTCAGAGAGGAACTAAGCAAAGAAACAGAGACAAACAAGTGAGAGGGACTTTTACACAATTCTTCCAAGTGGATTTTTTTCCCCCTGAAGTCTCACATACAGGGCATTGTCACAGGAAAGCCTTGCCCTGTGGATGGTCTCTTTATAATCTCAAAGATTCTTCTGTAGCTTCTTTCCTGAAGGACCTACCCAGAGCCCATCACCTCTGGGTGGTGCCTTAGTTTCTTCTCCCCAAAGAGCTCAGGATTTGTAATTTCAGGGCCTCACTACCTATCAGCCTACAAATAAAGCCAGGGTAGCACAGAGTCTGGTCGACAGGAATTATTGGAGAGATCCAAGGGTGCAGAGAAACTCATCGGCACCGAGGAAGAACGTTGGAGGTATACATGCTGGATTTGGGGATATGGGGATTGGTGCTTACTCTTGCCTGACAAGGGGAGTAAGGGTGTGAGTGTGGGGAGGGGGTTGAAGAAGACAGATTGCTCAGAGGTTAAACATGAGGAAGTGAATAGTAGGGGGAAACTGTTGTTAAGACATATGCCGCAGAGGGAGAGAAACACTTGAGTCTCTTCGAGCCAATGGTGGTCTTGAGTAGTGGTGTCTCGAAGTTTGTTGCTAAGACTTGTGAGCATTGAAACTTGTCTGTGGACTAAGAAGAAACAGGCAATTGGAGAAACAGCAAGGAGGCTTTCTTTTTTTTTATTTAAAAAGTTTATTTATTTGAAGAGGGGGTTTGGGCCACTCCCAGCCGTGCTCTTACTTCTGGTTCTCTACTCAGAGGACCACATGGAGTGGCAGGGATTAAATCTGGGTCAGCTGGGCCCAAGGCAAGGGCTCTGCTGGCTGTACTGTCCTCAGCGATGTTTTAAAAACTTAATCCCATCAGGGCTGGAGCGATAGGATAGTACAGCGGGCAGAGCATATGCCTTGCATGCTTTGATTCTCAGCATCTGATATGGTTTCCAGAGCACCACCAGGAGTAATTCCTGAGTGCAGACCCAGGAGTAAACCCAGAGCATTGCGGGTGTGGGAGCCCTTCTCCCCAACGAAAAACAAAAAAGAGGTTAACCCCACCAAGATAGCTCCTAAGAGCTTACCCAACCCTTCCACATTTTTTTTTTAATCTCTTGTCATTTGAACGCAAAGAGGGGTTTGACGCTAGCAGAGAGACACTGACCGTGGGAATACAGGCAGTGGATGCCTCGGGCCCAGTGCGCTGTCCATGCCGCTTAGTATGAGGACACTAGTGGAAACGGACTAGCTCCCCACGAGGCAGCAGCAGCAGATGTGCAGATTCAGGGTGTGCTGTGCTGCCTCTCCTGAGATGTCAGGGTGCTAGGAATGCTCCCAACCCAGGCAACACCGCCCCCAGGTGCGCACACGTGCAGACCCCTCGTCGGCAGTGGTGGAGGAATGACTGCAGACTGGCAGCTCCCAGGGGCGCGGGAGACCGCGGCTCCCAGGCAGTGGCTGTGAGCGCGCGCTGCGCCGTAGCAGAAGGAACGCCTGGAAAACCAAGCTTGTGATTTGGATATCCGGCCGGGGCTCTGCCGCAAGATAAATCTGCCGCGGGAAGTATTTAACTCGCATTCAGCGCTGTCGGAAGAAACTCCTTCCCGCCGGAGGCGCTGGAGTGTGCGCGTGGGAGCTTTCTCCCGGGCAGCCCGCGAGAGCCGGTAGTGGAATGGGATTTACAGGTTTCTGTTTGTCTTAGGGCGGGGAGGTGTTCTGAAGGAATGTAAGCAACCGGGACTGGGAGCTAGGATCCAGCTTCGTTTCCATCCTCCGTCTAGCCGGAGCTCCGCTGGCCAGTCTAGTCCAGCGCACTCATTCACCGGGGGTGGGGGTGGGTCTCAGTTTCCCTGTGCAATCGCACGGGAGCCTGGACTCGATTGAGTTTTTCTACGGCGAAGGTGGCAAATTCCTTCAATCTGCCGCTCCGCAATCCGCTCTTCGGGTACCTTCTCCCACCCGTTTCTTTGCCTTCGCAGGCACAGGGGCCGGGGAGGGTGTGTGTGTCTGTGTGTGTGGGGGGGGGGGGGGGGGGGGGAGGGAGGCGGGGCGGGAGGGTGAAATCGACGAGGCGGGCGGGGCCAGGCGGAGGTCCCGCCCCGCCCGCGCCCCGCCCCCTGACGTCCCCTCCGCGCCCTCCGCCCTTGGCGCGGGGCTGAGGCCCTCACGTGACCTCACATCCGGCGCGGGAGTCCCGAGCTCGCGGCGCGCTGCCCCTCGCCCGCCGGCTCAGCCCTCGGCGAGATTCGGGCGCCCCGGCGGAGGGGAGGGGGGTTCGCGGCGACGCGGCTCGCGGCGGGAGGCTGTTCGGGAGCGCACACCGCCCCCCTCCCCGCGCGCCCGCCCCGCCCGCCGCCCTCCCTTGTTCTCGCCGGGCCGGGGCTGCACGCCGCGGGCGCCGCCGAGGGGAGCGCGAACGCCTCCGCCGCCGCCGCCGCCGGGCTCGCCGGCCCGGGCCGCGCCGCCGCCGCCGCCGCCGCCGCCGAGCCGCCCTCGCCTCAGCCCCGAGCCGCGGCGCGCGGCGGCGGCGCCTCGAAGCCGAGCGACGCGCGGGCCGCGGGCGCCGGCCGAGGGCGATGGGGCTGGGCTGAGGCGCGGCGGCGGCGACAGCGGCGGCCCGGGCCTCGGCCCCCCGCGGCTCCTCGGCGTCCGAGCGGGCGAGCGGGCGGGCGGGCGGCGGCCGCCGAGCGGCGGGGAGCGCGGTGAGCGGGCCGGGGCCGGGGCGGGCCGGGGCGGGCCGGGGAGGCCGGGGACCCCGCGGGGCCGGGCCGGGCGGCGGCGGGGCGGCGGGAGCGGGCGGCTCCGAGCCCGCGGCGCGTGTCTGGGGCAGGTGAGGCGCGCGTGTGCGTGTGCCGGGGAGCGGTCTACACCCGCCGGCACCTGGCCGCGCTCCCGGGCGGACCGGGCAACTCGGGGAGGCCCCCCCGGGGCTTGGACCGGGCGGGACCGGACCGCCCCGCCCCGCCCCGCGGCCTCGCCCCGGGACTCACTCGTGCGAGTGAGGACCCGCGTCCCCGGCCTCCGGGACGTACGTGGCCCACGCGCAGCTTCCCCCGCCCCCCCCACGCTTGGTCCAGGCAGGCAGCGTCTGCCGGGTGGGGTGCCCTGTGCTTTGCGGGGTGGGGGGCGCTTCCCAGTGGGGACCGCCTTCCTTTTTTTTTTTGCCGGGTGGTGACAGGTGTTTTTCCTTTTCTCCCCCCCCCCCCCCCCCCCCCCCCCCCCCCCCCCCGGTTCCGCAGATCCCGACGGGAACATCCTCGGAGCTCGGTTGTCTGGACATCGGAGGTATGAATCACTCCCATAATGAACTCCTTTTAATCGCCCCTGTGTCTTCGAGCTATATTTAGTGGTCACATTAGTGCACAATGAATGGCCGTGGAGTCGTAAACCTAGACACAGCAGCAGCCCCTGTGTCCTGCGGGCTGATTCTGTGCCGAATGGGTAGGTAGAGCTCGCTGGGTGGGAATCGGGGCTTGTTCCAGATGTGTAAGTTGGGAAGTCGAGGTCCCTCCCCGCCTCCCCCCCCCCCCCAAAAAAAAGGCCTGACAAATGCAGGGAGGCTTTTAAAAGATCATCGCAAAACCAGTCACTTCTTGTGAAGTGTCTTGTTACTCCAGTAAAGGTATTCCGGTTTACCTTACCTTTTTGGGGGGGCGTGGGGGGCGGGTAAGGGGTAGATTGGGGCCTCATGGAACGGTGGAGCTCATGGTCTACTTCTGTCTGTGCTCTGGTCACGGCTGGCATTTTTGCGACCTGATGACCTCTGAGTACAGGCTTGCAGAATAGGAGTATACCTTGTTTCTAGAGGTCTCAAGTCGACTGAGGCATCCTGTGGAACTTTGACGTTATCCCAGTGGTCTAGATGGTCATGGGAATGAGAAATGTGTCCCCATGAATGACAAGGTGGTCGTAATTTCTAAAGGATTGCAAGAGACGATTTCAAAATGAGCTTGATTGCTTGGGTTTCTCGAAAGCTGAGTTTTATTCCATTGGCGGTCCTGGCAACCTAAACTAATTACATGAATACTAAGTGGGAGATCTTCCTGACTTACCATATGTGACCATATATTGAATAGGATTGGCAGCTTACACTTACTGAAAGGCAAGCCTTGGAACTCTGAAACCAGTTTATAGTGGTACTATATTTTTAGTTTTTGTGCGGGTAGGGGGCCACACCAGGTGCTGCTTAAGACTTAGCCCTGGTGTGCCGGGTGGGTCGTTTGAAGTGGCAGGGATCAAACCCTGGTCCCCTGTGTGCAAGGCAGGTGCCCTACCCCCTATACTATCACTCCAGCCCTCATCTTAAAAGAGATCATCTAGTTTCTGACATTTACTTAATACATCACTAGAATGTTTGTCTCAATTGATGGACTACATTCTGAATGTGCCGTATAACTCATCTGGCAAGATTTGGATCCAAGAGATAGTGTTACTTGGTCTTTGGTTTTGGAACACGCTTTCTGTGAAGTGAAGCTAAGGAGAGAGTGCATCTGTAGTCATCAGAACCATATTCTAATATAATCCACCTAACTAGTTCAGATAACATACAAAAATCAAGCAAATAATTGAGTTTTGTTACTTGAGTTTTGTTGATCTTCATATTTGGAGAGTAGTGAAATAAGAGGATCAGAATTCGGCCACATATTAAAATATAGGTAAAAAAGTTAAATGATTTTGAATTCATTTCATTAGATGTTTTTAATATTTCTAAGGTAGAATGTCCTGAAGTTAATGGTCACTATAAAAAGTGAGTATAAAAGTTATATTAAAATTTTGGGGCTGGAGCAATAGCAAAAAGGGTAGGGTGTTTGCCTTGCACATGACCGACCCGGGTTTGACTCTCAGCATCCCATACGGTCCCCCTAGCTCCACCAGGACTAATTCCTGAGTGCATGAGCCAGGAGTAACCCCTGTGCATCTCCGGGTGTGATGCAAAAAAAAATTGAAAAGTTATATTAAAATTTTGTATTAGGTTAACTGAAATTTGAATTGTAATGCCTAAATAGTAATTGGAAAAAAGTTGACTATTGTAATAGTTTAAAATAATCTTACGGTAATTAGAAGGGAGAAAAGTGGAATTGAGACAAGGGAGAACTGTCTAATTGTCTGAGAGTGAGGAAAATTGATGGGAATTGCTAAACAATTTTCTAGAATCGTTCTCCAGAGAAAACTGTTCCCAGCATCTGATCTAACAACAACTCATATTGGGGATCTTTGCTGTATTTGAGATGGTAAAACATTAACTCAAATAACAAACTTTTAGACTGCCAAATTGAAAGAGGACTTTTAGCACCTTGGATATGGCTCAGCAGTGGAGTTCTCAGCTTGCTTGGATGAGACTCTATGCTTATAGATATTCACCATTGTGTTCCCCCCCCCCCCCCCGCGCGTGCTTGTATTTATATGGGTTTATGTATCATAAGTGTCCATCTACTCAAGAAGGACATGAAAATGGAGCTCCTGGGGAGTTACAGATGAAAATGCAGCTTTTACCTTTAGAGACCACTAGTATAAATGAAGAAATAGGAAGAATTAGCATAAATTTGAGTTTTTTTTTTTAAAATGTGAGATGAGGGAAATGAAGTGAGTTGTGGTTAATTTCTTAAATCAAAATTTCTCATGTTAATTTTTCACTTAACTCTTTCGGTCTTGACTATTGGTTCAGATTGTAATTAGGTATGAAATTTGATTTTCAGGAAAAGTATAAAATATTATTTCCTGTTTTCATCTTGGGCTGGAGTGATAGCACAGCAGGTAAGGCATTTCCTTGCACTCGGCCGACCCAGGTTCGATTCCTCCGCCCCTCTTAGCCTTGCAAGCTTCCGAGAGTATCTTGCCTGCACGGCAAAGCCTGGCAAGCTCCCTGTGACGTATTAGATATGCCAAAAGCAGTAACAAGTCTCACTATTTGTTGTGAGATGTTACTGGTGCCTGCTCGAGCAAATCGATGAACAACGGGAGGATAGTGACAGCCTTCATCTTATGGAGTTGTTGATTATATGTATAATCTCAGAAATTTTATTTCTTGGCCTAAGAGATAGTGTATTGGGCACAGTGTTTGCCTTGTACTCAGCCGACCCAGTTTAATCCCCAGCATTCCATATTGTTCCCTGAGAACCGCGCGGAGTAATTCTTGAGTGCAGAACTAGGAGTAACTCCATAGCATTGCCAGGTGTGACTCCCCCCAAAAAAACAGAATATTTTATTTCTTATTTATTTTGGTGTTTGGGTCTATACCCAGCAGTCTCAGGGCTTACTCCTGGCTCTGCACTCAGCTTACTCCTGGCTGGACCCTGTAGGATGCTATGATTGAGCCTGGATCAGCCACATGCAAGCCAGGCACCTTGCTGTACTATTGCTCTGGCCCTGAGCTGCATGATCTAATGAGGTTAATCATCTTTTTTGTTTGTTTTGGGGCCACACCTAGCAGTACTGGGGTGGGGCAGGGGGCTTACTCTTGGCTTTGAGCTCAGGGATCACCGATGGATCTCCAGAGAGACTTATATGAGATGCTAGGGATCAAACCTGGGTCAGCAGTATGCAAGGCTAGAACACCCAGAACACCCAGCCCGTTGTTTTATCAGCTCTCAGGTTAATCTCTCGATGGACTTTTTTTTCCTGAATCGTTTTTCTCTAGTGCAGTCCATAATGAATGACCCTTGGTCAATTTTCCTTAAAAATTGTGGCATTATTCATTGTAATGCATAAGAACTATAATTTTTATAGGCAATAAGTATGATACTTGGTTATAATTTACTGGGTATATTTTTAGGTTGAATTGGCATACTCCATATCATTTTCAGGTAATACAAGACTTTTCCATTTCTAGCTGTTCCCCAGTGGCCACCTGTGGCCACCTGTGTTGCAGTCAGTTTAAATAACCTTCATGAAGCCAGGGGGAATAGTATTGGGGTTAAGGCACTTGCCTAGGATGCGTCTGACCTTCAGTTTGATTCTTGACACCACATGGTCCTATGAGCACTGCTGGAATGCACAGAGCTGAGAGTAATGCCCAGAACCACCAGTTGTGGCCCAGCCTCACTTATATCCATCCAAAAAATAACTCTTTTGAGAACTTCTAGAATTTCTTACCTTTGTACTTCTATACGTGGTAATGCGGCTTGAATTCTGGTCCTCTGCTGTTCCCCTCTTTTTTATTAATTCGCTTGATGGATTTCACATTCTTGATCTTGGATCAAGGAGTAGCTCTGTCCTTTGGCTTTCTCTTTCTCCTCCCTGTGCGCCCATTGCTCCCATGATAACCATTTTACTGCAGCCCTCAGGCCATTTTGTTGATCTATGTTTGCTTTCTTACAACTAACGCACTAGAGTTGGCTCCGTGAACTCAGAAATTTAATTGTAATTTTTAACAACATAGTATTTGGCATGTGGAGACAGTGACATTCTAACAGATGATGCTTTTTGGGGTGGATTTACTCAGTGCTCCGGGCCTCCGGGCCTACTCCAGATGATACTTGTTTTGTTTTGCTGAGGCCTAGCAGAGCTGGAAGCTGTCAGGGCCCAGCCCAGTGGTGCTTCATCAACTGTTCCATGCTAGGGATAACACGTGGTGCCTCCTCAGGCACTCCTACCCTTTGAGCATCTCCCTGCCCCACAACAGATAACTCTAGAAATCAGTCATGAGAATAAACTATAGTGATTCTTTCTAGAATGTTAATTTTAATGTCTAGACTTCATTTTGAAATGCTAGAATACTCGAACAACATCAGAATTGTCTTATTCGCCATTTCCAATGGTTAGGATCAAGAAAGGTAGTGTTTCAGATTCATCAGTGAACATATCCATGACAGTTTTCTGTCCAGAGTATTGAAAACTTACTCTCAAACTTTTTCAATGCAGGAAGAAAGGGTTAGTCCATAGGGTTGCTGTAGCATCAGCCCTACCCCCTGCTAGGTACATGCACTGCTGCTGCTGTGGAGCCGATAGAGTGAGGAAGTGGAGGCACTTCAGGGCCTCTTAGGAAGACTCCAAGACCCGTGTACCAGCTTCTCAGTAGTGAAACTGCATTATCTACTTCACTATATCTCCATACTGATTTTTTGTTACTTAAAAGTTGATTTGTATTAGTTTATCAATTTTGAGAAGCTACACAGATCATTTATTCACTTTTGAACAGAATGACTCTTGATTAGAGAGGTGTTTGATATTAAAAAATTCTCCTGTGGTGGGGGTTATAGAGGGTTACACGATACCACTAAGGGGCCTGGGAATGAGGGCTTCGGAGAGTAGGGAAAGAGACTTAGAGAAGAGATGTGGGAGCAGGT